TTCAGGGCCCGGTACTCACCACAGGTGCAGTCCCTTCCCAGCGGCCCCTGCCTCGCCGCCACGGCCTCTGCACCCCTTTCAGAGGCTTTCACTCCCCCAGGTGCTAGTACTCCCCGGGCCCTGCCCTCCAGCCTGTTTTCTCTGTGTCTGTGCTGTCTGCATGCGTCCTTCTGACCCTTGGTTTCCCCCATGACCTTCTTGCTCATGACTTCAGCCCTGTGTCTCCAACTGACCGCACCCCGAGCAGCAGACTGCACCTGCCGACCTGACTGACACTGCGCCCAGTGTCCCGTCAACCCGGCCTCTAAAGCAGCGCTCACCCTTCCACTCCATGCCAGCTCTTCCCCTCGCAGGGCAGGCACCACCAACATTCCTGGGCCCAGAGTGCTGCGCCTGACTTTTCTTGCCTTCTTTCTCTCTTTGACCGCACATACCAGGAGCCCTGTCATCTCCACTCTTTAAGGGTCTTCCACCAGGGAGGCTAAGGCAGGAGAATTGCTTGAACCCAGGAGGCAGAGGTTGCAGTGAGCCGAGATCATGCCACTGTTCTCCAGCCTGGCCACAGAGCAAGACTCCATCTCAAAAAACAAAAAGAAAGAAATTGTCTGTTTTTATGTTTTCCCCTCCCCTGAAGACCACACACTTCCCTGAGCTTTGTGAAGGCGGGAACGCTGAGTCAAATGTCCCAGCCTGAGGTTGACACTCAGGTTTCTGCGACCAAACAAGCTGAGGCTGAGCAGGTTGACCGTGCTGGTGGCTGCTGCCTTTAGCCTGGCCCGCATTTCCTGGAGCTCCAGGGCCGTTCCCTACCCTTCTTTTTATGCTGCGATGTTGTATGTGTGACTTGCTTGATGCCCCACCTGGAATTGGCCCGTCTCTGACGGATGCTCAGAGAAATCACATACGGGCACCTGCTTCCTTACTTTGATTAGCTGAGTGAATTCAGGGAACATTCCTAGCACAGAGATTGGCACAGATTAGACACTCTGTCCATACCAGACCCTTTCTTTTCGCCCATTTTGGGGAGGGACAAAATTGACGCTGGACCCCTGAACAAACCACTTGTTAGCCCAGATTATGTTGGATTATGTTAGCCCAGATATACAGCATCACATGCTGGTTTTTTATGATTTAAAGCTGTTGAAAGTAACGACCTACCAGGGTCCTCCTTTGGCTCCCTGCATTTGAGACTCACTCTCTTCAACATAAAATGTGTGACCCTGATGATGCCATTGTTTCTTTGCAACAACCGTCCCATCTCAGCGAACTTCACAAGGCCTTTACCTAGTTTAAATCTCAGCCAAATAAAGATGTAAATAGAAATTGAATTTTAAATAGGAGCTGAGTTTTTTCAGAATTGTGAACGCAGTGTGTGGTTGGCAGAATAATGGCCCCCACAGATGTCCACATTCTAATCCTGAACCTGGGAAGATGTGACCTGCGTGGCCAAGGGGAGGTAAGGTTGCAGATGGTGTTAACGTTGTAGTATGGTTTGAATTGTGTCCTCTTCAGAATGTCTTTATCGAAGTCCTAATCTCCAGCATCTCAGAATGTGACCTTATTTGGAAGTACGGTCACAGCAGATGTAATTAGGTAAAATGTTATCATTCGGAAGTAGGGTGGGGCCCTGATCCATTACGACAGGTGTCCTTTATAAGAGGAGGGTCACGTAAGGACAGACACACAGAGAGGACTCTGTGGGAAGATGCAGGCGGGGCTGGAGTGATGCTTCTGCTCGCCAGGGAGCACCAAAGCTTGCTGGCCGCCACCAGAACCTAGGAAAGAGACCCAGGATACATTATTCCTCAGAGATCTTGGGAGGACCAGCCATGCCGACACCGTGGTTTTGGACTTCTGGCCTCCAGGACTGTGAGAGAACAGATTACCGTTGTTTTAGGCTACCCAGTTCGTGATGCTTTTATCGACAATCCTTTTATCTGCAAACTTTAAGGCCAGCTGATTATCGGGTTGGTAATCTTAAAGTAGATTATTCTGGATTATCTGGGTAGGTCTGGGGTCATCACAAGGGTCCTTCCAAGTAGGAGATGGGGCAGAAGAGAAGGTCAGAGTGACACAGTGTGAGAAGTGCCCCCCTGCCACTGCTGGCCTTGAGGAGGCAGGAAAAGGTCCCAAGCCAAGGAATGGGGCAGCGCAGGGCTGGAAAAGGCAGGAAACAGATTCTTCCCCGGAGTCTCCCAGCACCCTGGTTTTAGATTTGAAAGACTTGTGCCAGACTTCTGACCTCCAGAAGTGTAAGATAATAAATCTGTGTTGTTTTGAGCTATTAAGTTGGGGTAACTTGTTACAATGGCAGTAAGAATACAAGGTCTCGTATGGTCACCGAGCTGCCTGAAGCGTTCAGTAAGATGATGTAACTTGAAGCATGTGCAGAGGAGCTGAGTGAGTGCCAGGCAGGAAAGGAAGCAGGTCCGTTCTGACTCCTGCAGAGGAATGGGAGAAGAGGTGCCGTGAATGACACACGTGTTAACTGTGGCTTCGTAAAGAATTAGTTTCAGCCAGGCGCGGTGGCTCATGCCTGTCATCCCAGCACTTTGAGAGGCCGAGGTAGGTAAAAAAAAGAATTACAGTATCATGACTTTTAAGAAAAGCAGTTAATTCAAACTTGGCTAATAAATGTTGCTATTAAAATTTTTAGGGGTCACTAGTGGAAAAAAAAATAGAGCTTACAGTGTAATTGGAATGTAAGTTGTTGGCCAGGTGCCGTGGCTCATGCTTGTAATCCCAGCACTTTGGAAGGCCAAGGTGGGCGGATCACCTGAGGTCAGGTGTTCAAGACCGGCCTGACCAACATGGAGAAACCTCCTCTCTACTAAAAATACAAAAATTTAGCTGGGTGTGGTGGCGCGTGCCTGTAATCCCAGCTACCTGGGAGGCTGAGGCAGGAGAATCACTTGAACCCGGGAAACGGAGGTTATGGTGAGCCAAGATCACGCCATTGCACTTCAGCCTGGGCAACAAGAGCAAAATTTCGTCTCAAAAA